CAGCCGCCGCCGCCTCCGCCGCCGCCGCCGCCGCCGCCGCGGGCGTGGGGGAGGGGAGGGACGGGCGGGGGTGGCTGCATCCTGAACAGCGCCTCCCGGAACCTGGCCGGTTCGTGTCGGCTTCGAGACCATAACGAGGCATGAGCCGGGCAGCCATACTAGGTGAGGGCAGCCTGGCAGCGGCATGAAGCCGGGAATGGTTAGCTTCACGTTGGGGAGAGAGAATGGAGACTGGCCGCCATCTTGCTTTGGGGCAAGCTGGCAACGCAGGGTTTTCTGAACGGCGGTTTCGGGGCGGTTCTAAGAAGTGGAAGAGAGTAACGTGCTTGTCTGTGGAAGACTTGGTGGCGCCAGAGCCGTCTGGTATCAGGCTTCAAGGCCCACGGGGAGAGTGGGGCTGGCAGCCATGACACGTAAGGGCGGAATAGTACAGGAGTTGGACTGCCCGGTGAACTTGGGTGAAAGTTCAAGATCTGGATTGAACCTTTGCCTTGAACTTCCTGTCACCCGGACGTTCTGAAACCCGGACCTTGCAGCGCTTCCCAGAGTCTTTCTCGGAATTCATCCCTTCAGTATTTTCCTTTTGAGCGCTCACTTCCTGTCGAAAATGTCTCCTAAGCTGACTCGTGCAGGACTGTTGGGAATTGAAAGGGGGGCGGGCAGGGGGTGAAGTGGAGAGGGGGGCTCACGTATGTTCTGGAGCTGCCAGCAGCCTAATGTGACTAAAGAAAAAGGTAATACCCTAAGGTCTATGACAAAGGGAGGGACCTGATGATGCCAGATCGTGTAAATTTATTTTATCCTAAGGGCAACGAAGAGGCTTTGAAGGGGTCTAAGCAGAGGTGTGAGCAATTACATTTGTATTGTAAAAAGATCACTGCTTGCCAGCTTGGGCATGTTAGCGCTGGCCTGGAGCTTGAGGCAGGAGGATTGTGTGAGCTCTGGAGATGGAGACCAGTTTGGGCTTAATTTAAGCGAGGAAGACCACTAGGACGTTAGGTCAGTGGTAGAATGTGTTTTTAGCACAGTTAAACCTGGTGATCAGTCCCCAGGAAGTGGGGCTGGGTAGAGAGAGAGAGATCACTGGTTGCCATGTAAAGGGTGATTCGGAAAAGTAGGAGAGAACAATTATGAAGATAAGGAAGAGACAGTGGTGATGTGTAAGTAGGAAGGCATGTCTTGGATAAGGAGGTGAATGTACTGATTTGAAGAACTGAGTTACATTATTTTTAATTCTAAGGGAGATCTGTGGGATGTCTTTTAGACACGTAAATATTAAGTAATATGGGTTGGAAACCAAGAAAGTTTAAAGTGTGCTTCTGTGAATATGGATAGTTCTTGGAGCCATAAATAAAAGAGGATAATGGCCTAGGGAGGAAGATACATGCATTTGAGGCATGAGAAGAGGAAAGAAGCTGAAATGAGGACATTAAGAAGGAGGAAACAGGAATAACGGAAGGAAGACAGGAGAAAAGTATCAAGGAAACTCGTTTAAAGTATTAAATGCAACAGATCAGGTAAGGTGTGAATTAAAATGTGTCCTGTGGATTGTGGAAGAAGGGACACTAGATACATTTGGAGAAAGCTGTTGCATAGAGTAGACATAGAACCAGATTGAAATGGAAAGATATTAATGTACAGAGACATTTTTGGGCCAGGCATGGTAACTCAGGCTTGTAATCCTAGCACTCAGAAAGGTGAAGGATACTATTTGAGGCAAAACTGGACCTCACAAGTAATAGACCAGCCAGATGTTGCAGGATATTGGGTCACACTGTGAACCCTGAGATTGTGTTGTGTTGCTTTTCTGTTTTCCATTGTTTTGTATTTCTCTACTGTATTTCCTAGATGGCATCATGTTGTTTTTCTCTTTACTTCATCAAACATTTTTTCAAAAGTATCTGCATCTGAATCAGCCAGTAAGGTATTATCCATATACTGCTGGATGTTAGATTGAGGAAACTGTTTACAAATTATTTCTAGCATCTGTTGTACAAAATATTTACACAAGATGGAGCTGTTTAACAGTCCGTGTGGAAGAACTTTCCAGTGGTGTCTTTTAACAGGCTAGGAATTGTTAAAAGTAGGCACTGTGAAGACAAAATTTTCCCTATCTTATTCTTTTTGTTTGGTTGGTTGGTTGGGTTTTTTTGTTTTTGTTTTTGTTTTTTCTCCTGGCTGTGCTAGAACTTGATTTGTAGACCAGGCTGGCCTCCAACTCACTGAGATCTGCCTGCCTCTGCCTCCCAAGTGCTGGGATTAAAGGTGTGCGCCACCACTGCCCGGCTCTCTATCTTATTCTTGTAAAGGTATAGTTAAAAAGTAGTCTTTTAACTCAATCACTGTTGTAGCAAGCTTTCTTGTCAGACTATCTTTGGACCTCCAGCCTGCAAACAATGATCTGGAGAATTATTATTTTTTTTTAAAGATTTATTTATTTACATATCTTATGCATATGAGTGTTCTATTTGCATGTATGTTTGCATGACAGTAGAGGGCATCAGATACCATTGTAGATGGTTGTGAGCCACCATGTGGTTGCTGGGACTTGAACTCAGGACCTCTGGAAGAGCAGCCAGTGCTCTTAACCACAGCCATCTCTCCAGCTCCGAGAATTATTATTAATTATGAAAGCTTAACCTTAGCTTAGACTTTTCACAACTATCTGATATAACTTAACCCATCATTTTTTATCTACCTTCTGCCACATGACTTGGTTACCTCTTCTTGGTATGGCACATCTGACTTGCTCTGAATCTGTTGGCAAAATCACTCATCTAGATTCCTCCCAGTTTCTCTCTCTCTGCCCAGTAGTCACACCTATTCTCTCCTACCTAGCTATTGGCTACTTAGCTCTCTATTAAACCAATCAGAACGTACCTTAAGCAGAGACACATCTTTACAGTATAAACAACACACTATATTCTGCAACACTATAATATAAAATATAATTATTTAGGTAATAAAGAAGGCAAGGGAATTCCAGGCTGTAAAGAGCTCATTGGCTGAATCACCTTATTTATACTTCATAGATCTGTTACCATTCTACATTTTCCAAATTTATTTATTTATTTATTTATTTATTTTATTTTTTTTTTTTTTTTGGTTTTTCGAGACAGGGTTTCTCTGTGTAGCTTTGCGCCTTTCCTGGAACTCACTTGGTAGCCCAGGCTGGCCTCGAACTCACAGAGATCCGCCTGCCTCTGCCTCCCGAGTGCTGGGATTAAAGGCGTGCGCCACCACCGCCCGGCTTCCAAATTTATTTTTAATAACAAATGTAGGAGGATTCCAAGGACTGGTCAATTCTTCATATATTGGGCATTTAGTACCTGTAATTTTTCTGATGTCAAAGGCCACTGTGCCGCCCACACAGGTTTGCAGTTGACATTTTAAAGGTATGGCTGTTGGTACCTTTGAAAGACCCAACAGCTGTTATGCACTGCTTATGTACAACCTGAAGGGCCTGTGACTGTTCTTGATAATAATACCTTTTAATAACTTTGTCAGAAGTATTCTTTACTTTATGGTTTATTTCTGAGATTGGAGTAATGTTCATCTGTGTTTTCTATTGCTGTAACAAACCACATCTCAACAAATTCATTGCTATGTTAGTTATAGGTGGACTTTTCTTTCCTGCCCACCAGTTCCCAAATAACCAACACGAAGACTCAGTATTTATTATAAATGCTTGGTCTATAGCTCAGGATTATTACTAACTAGCTCTTACAACTTAAATTAACCCATTTTTTTAAAATCTATGTTCTACCACAAGGTTCATGGTTTCTTACCTCATTTTGTATATGTCCCGCTTCCCTTGTGGCTGTCTGGCTACTCCTTCAGGCTCTACCCTTCTTCCCAGTGTCCTCCTAGTCTGACTCCCCAGCCCATTCTCTTCCTACCCAGCTATAGGCCAGTCACCTCTTTATTAACCAATGAGAATAATACATATTTACAGTGTACAAAGATTGTTCCACAGTAGTTAGACACATATGGCTTTAATTTCTCTACCTGTCCTTCTGGCCTTATGCATATGACCCACCTTCTACTTTGTTTTACCTGAGCTAAAGTTCCAATCTCTAGAAGCTGAATATTTACATCCTGAAGAGGCCAATCTGGATGCCAAGATTTTGGTGAAATGTTGTGGAATATTTGTTTACACTGTGTGAATATGTAGCACTGTGATTGGTTTAATAAAGAGCTGATTGGCCAATAGCTAGGCAGGAGAGATAGGCAGAGTTTCCAGGAGAGACAGAGGAAGAGGAGGAGGAATCTAGGTACACTGATTATGCTAAGAAAATGCCAGGAGACACAGAGAGGAAACAGGAGGTGCAAGATAGAAGAGAGGTAATGATAGAACATAGATTAATATAAATGGGTTAATTTTGTTATGAGAGCTAGTTGAGACAAGCCTAAGCTAAAGGTCAAGATTTCATCATTAATAATACGTCTCAGCAGGCAGTGGTGGTGCATGCCTTTAATCCCAGCACTTGCGAGGCAGAGGCAGGTGGATCTCTGTGAGTTCAAGGCCAGTCTAGTCTGCAGAGTGAGCTCCAGGACAGGCTGCAAAGCTACACAGAGAAACCCTGTCTCAAAAAACCAAAGAGGGGGGAGAGTCTCCATTTTGTTATTTGTGAGCCTACAAAAAAGCTTCCTATGGTAAAATTGTTATATCTGCTCCTATGTCTACTAAACTTTAAATTTGAATGCCATATATTTGTATTTTTAGCTTTGGTCTCTGTCCATTTGTAGCAGTTTGCCAAAATACTTGTTTTCTGATTTCTCCCACCCAACAACTGAAGCTGTTCTATCCTTCATCACATTCAGAGCAGAGTTGTTTTTAATAACAGGTATCAAGTCTTTTAATTGTTCTGTGTATGCGTTTTTCCAATATTAACAGGGAATGATTGAACCAAAATTGGTATTGGGGCCTGCAGTAGGTCCCCTAAGGTGTTTCCTTCCCAGACAAGGCCAGTCTTGTCTACAGAGTGAGTTCTAGGATAGCCAGGACTGTTGTTTCACAGGGAAATTGTCTTGAAAAGACCAAAAAAAAAAAAAAAAAAAAAAAAAAAAGATAAAGTTAGAACATAAACTTACATATATATATACTGTTTTAAAAATATTTTTATAGCACTTGTGTTTTTTTAATGATGTATTTATTATTACATATACAGTGTTCTGTCTGCATGTATGCCTGTATGCCAGAAGAGGGCACCAGATCTCATTACAGATGGTTGTGAGCCACCATGTGGTTGCTGGGAATTGAACTCAGGACCTCTGGAAGAACAGCCAGTGCTCTTAACCTCTGAGCTATGTCTCCAGCCCCCTTGTGTTTTTGTTCAACTGGTAGACAAAGGCAGGGAAGACAGGTGCAAAAATGAATGCTCTTTTGCAACTCAAAATTCATTGCTCAGTATGAGTTTTGATACATATAAGAAGAAATATGATACACAAGACAGATCAAAGGTTGATGGGGCTAATAAAACTTGTCTTGAACATGAAGTCGGAGTTGAAGGTGTTTATAAATGAATGTTTATTTCAGTGTAGCATTGGCATTTCCTACCTACAGATTAGTATTCTGAGTAAATTAGGAAAGAATATGAACTGAACTCATAAGAGATGTGTAGTATCAGCAATTGAGAGTCAGACCTACCTTAAAATGATTCCTAAAGTAAACTGAGGTGCCAGAGTTCCTCTAGTGGAGGACTCTCCAAGTCTTTTTTTGAGTATATGTCTTTAATTCAGGAGTGATAAAATATAAAGGGTTGACAGGACAACTGGATTAAACATCTTTTTTGAGAAAGGGCTATTTTCAGATTTCTTTTTTTCAGCTCCTAGATAGGATTTCCCTGTGTAACAGCTCTGGCTGTACTGGAACTCACTATGTAGACAAGGCTGGTTTTGAACTCACAGAGATCTGCTTGCCTCTGCTTCCTGGGTGCTGGGATTAAAGGTGTGCATCACCTCTGCTGTGGAATAATCCTTTTGTACACTGTGAAAATTTGTCACTCAAATTGGTTTAATAAAATGCTGACTGGCTGGTAGCCAGGCAGGAAATATAGGTGGGACAACCAAACTAGGAGAGTGATGGGAAGAAGGGTGGAGTCAGAGAAGATGCCATCCAGCCTGCCAGCCAGCCGCACAAGAAGCAGGCCATGTACAAAATGAGGTAAGAAGCCATGAGCCATGTGGCAAAGCATAGATAAGAAATATGGGTTAATTTATATGTAAGAGTTAGGTAGTAACAAAACTGAGCTACCGACTGAGCATTTTTAAGTAATTTTAGTCCTTGAGTCAGTTATTTTATTTTATTTTATTTTTAGAATCTTTTTTTTTTTTTTTAAGATTTATTTATTTATTTTATATACAGCATGTATGACTACAGGTCAGAAGAGGGCACCAGATCTCATTACAGATGGTTGCGAGCCATCATGTGGTTGCTGGGAATTGAACTCAGGACCTCTGGAAGAGCAGTCAGTGCTCTCAACCTCTGAGCCGTCTCTCCAGCCTCCTTGAGTCAGTTATTTGGGAAGCAGATGCCAGTTATTTGGGAATAGGCAGTCAGGACAGGAAAACTCCGCCTATACACCACCACCCAGCTTATTTCTAGAAATCTTAAATTTGAGTGATCCTGATGGAAGA